CGGTGGTGAGGGGCTGCCTCTCCGCCGGGGCATCCGTCTGCTGGACAGCGGCTCCGTAGAGAACGTGCTGCAAGTCGGTAGGTGCTCGTCCGGCCCCTCTCTGGTCTCTGGCCTCCTCTTTTGCAGGTGCCTCCTCTCTGCTCTAGCCAAGTGGAGACCGCGGCTTCCTGCCCAACTCCTGCAATCCTGCCAAAGGACAAACAAGTCACATAAAAACTTTTCCGCCGGGGCATCCGTCTGCTGGACAGCGGCTCCGTAGAGAACGTGCTGCAAGTCGGTAGGTGCTCGTCCGGCCCCTCTCTGGTCTCTGGCCTCCTCTTTTGCAGGTGCCTCCTCTCTGCTCTAGCCAAGTGGAGACCGCGGCTTCCTGCCCAACTCCTGCAATCCTGCCAAAGGACAAACAAGTCACATAAAAACTTTTCTCAACATTTCCGTTCAGGTCCACGACTGCTCTTTCCTTCCACCGGTTCTATCCCCTTTTCTTATTGTTTGAAAAGCAAATAGATCTCTCGCTCTTTACTCTTCATTCTTTTTCTCACTTCAAAGGCAAACAGGACGGGGAGATGTGTCTTTTTGGATCTAATAATTTCAGAATGCATTTGTGTAATTTAAGTTTTGAGAGGAGAGGATTGTTAGTCAATCTGGAGCAAACCTTAGAGGGAGTGTTTGAGGGACAGGCTGTCAGCCAATCTGTAGTCCTGGCAGATTGAATCTGGGTGTAATTAACTTTAACATGGGGGAAGAAAAGCAGCAGCAGCAACAACAAAATCCTGTGCATTTCAGACAATTTTAATTGTCTGCTCTACAATTTTTCCCCTCTAGACCAGTGATGCCTGGGAATCTAGGCTGTGGACTAACAATAACCGAAGATGGAAATGTGACAGCTTCTCTTCTGTACACCCCCACCCAAGGAAAAAAAGCCACACAATCTGGAGTGGGGGTGGGGTCTGTCTTCCTTGTCAGGCTAGGGTAAATCAAAAGCTGGTCACGTTGGGTTTTTCAAATGCTTTTCATTTAGCGAGTCTTCACTTTTGCTTTTGTTTTATCTTTTTGTTTGTGAGAAAATAGAAAATGGTTTCTTTTTCTTTTCCTCCTACTCTGGAGCTTCTAGTCAGTTTGTTAACATTATTAAACGTATAAATACGATGTGTCTGATGTGTGGAATGGTAGGAAAAATTAAAAAATGACATTGTTTAACATTGACTTGCTATGTAAAAATTAGAACACTTTTCTATTTGGATTGTTATATCCTGGAGTACGCATTATCTTTATGCATTTATTATACTGTTACTCATTTATTGAAGAAAATATCGATTTTGAACAGAGTTGGAAGGCGGTTGTTTCACAAGTTCAGGCACACATACACAAACCCCAAACATCTAGTTCTCATCTTCCCAGGTAAACCATATTTGAAATTCTTTTCCTTTGAGGAGTAGTACATTGCAGTGTTTTATACAGAGCAATCTGCTTTTGGTTATTGAGAGTCAGTGAAGCCTCCTGTGTTTCTTATTAAAACAATAGCACACCACAGTTTTTTTTACAAATATGAAATGTAAATTTATTCTGTGCCAGGATACAGTGACAGTGAACTGAGAAAGTTTGCTTATTTGAAAGAGGTTAATCCTTTGTGTGTTTGTGTATGTTTTAAAAAGAACAAATAAACATAATTAAGGTGTGCAGCTTTAATAATGAAAACAAGAAAATGAATATAGGTATTAGTCTATACACCTTAAACTTGGCTGTGAGTTTAGATCAGTTACCTTTTAAAATTCTTGTTTAAAATATTTTAAATTAAAAAAATCAATTTAAGTGGTTACTTTATTGTAAGAGATGGATTTGAAAGGATTTTCAAACTTGGGGCAAGTGAAAGAAGAATTTTTAAAGTGATTAAAATGTCAAGTTCAAAATGAAATCAGATTTTATGGGTGATTCAGATCATGTTTAAATCAGATATTTATTTATTTATTTATTTTTGTAGGAAAAATTTATTGAGGGAAAGAAAGCTTCTGTCTAAGAGACAGAATGGGACCAGAAAGTGGGTTGCCCACCAGATGTTTGTCTGTTTCTTTATTATTTTTTTTGAGACAGGGTCTCACTATGTAGTTGAGACTGACCTGGAACTCACTATGTAGCCCAGGCTGGTCTCAAACCTGCAGTGATCCTCCTGCTTCAGCCTTCTGAGTGCTGGGATTACAGGTGTGTGCCACCATGCCTGGCCAAGTGTTTATTTTTTATAATATGATAATTGCTATGGTTATGGGATGGTGTGTTCATAATTTCAGGGACCCTGAGAAAGACACATACCAACATTTTCTGTTGCACTTTGAATTTCACAGGTGAAGATAGGAGAATAAAAAAATTTTTTTTAAGATAGGCTCTCACCATGAAGTTTAGACCAGCCTTGAACTCACTACGTAGTCCAGGCTGGCCTTGAATTTGCAGTGATCCTCCTGCCCCAGTTTCCCAAGTGCTGGGTTTATAGACATGAGCTCCATCACACCTGGTTTAGGAGAATGAATTAATTACTCTCAGGTAATGATCTTTGTTTTTCTGACATTTAATTTATGCTAGTAAGTGTTGAAAATAAGGATATTCTGTATCATTTTGAGTTGTCTGTGTTTTTGTTTTTTTGTTTTGGTACCCAGGATTGAACTCCAGACCTTACACTTGTGAGGCAAGCAGCATCACCACTGAGCTAAATGCCTAGCCCGAATTCTGTATTTTGATACAAATCACCTAGTAATAAGTAAAACTAGAGACTCATTCCTCATCTTCTAAACTTGAAGTTGTATAGGACTTTTAAAAAACATTGTATGGGGCCTAATCTATATGATGGGTTTTATAAAAGTAGTGCTGAGAACCGAATGAGGAAGTGATTTCATATAGCTGGATAGTAATCATGTTCTTAAGTTATAACCTCAGTTCAAACTCAGTTTTATTATTAAGTGGTGCTAGTTAACAATTCTACATATTTCCTTACTGTTTCCCAGCCATGTTACATATAACCTCAAAATTGGAAAGTTCCTGAAGGCTGGGTGATGCTACAGAAAGGAAGGAAAGTTTAGGTATTTCTATAACGTTCTTTTTTAAAAAAATTTATTTATTTTTATTAGTACATT